ACTTCAATCTATTACGGGCCATGACCCTCACCATAAGGGCGTCACAATGAGGGAATTTTACACCCTCGACGTCTTCCTAAATAAAGACAATGGGTGGTAACTGTCTTCAGGGACCACTTCCTACTATGTAGCCAGTCATTGAAGGGTCCTTGAATTTTCTAGTATACTTCATTTGTGAGTTCTTTGTATTGCCCCCCACGTAAGGTCCTCAAAAAATCGTATTGATTTCATGGATATGAGCGTTTTCCATATTTGTCGGGGAATTCCTACATTGTCATTGTGGCTCCCCTAGGCCTTTCTTTATTGCGGTCCCTCCGCAGTAAGGATGGCTCCCAATGAGAGGATCTAGCCTCTTCGCATTTAGTCCTTCGATCCTACCTAGGCGGGGGCATGTCCCCAGGGGGGTGATCACTTCTTTAGTTGTTTTGTGTGCTCAACTGCCTAGGTGTTGGGCTGTATCTGACTGTAGGAATGATGACAGGTGCAATATTGAGGGTTTTTGACATATTCCTTGGTTCCGAATCCCACCATCAACCTCTCTCTCTTTAGGGGGCCCTTTTTTGGACCCAGTTTGCCTCATATTAATTTCAGAGATCACTTCCTTGTAGGCTAGTGTGGGCACCGCATTCAACGTGGTTGTGGTAAGTGCTTGCCCAAAATTGGGTACTTCATTACCAACCTGATTTCTATTGGTGATCCATTAGGTGAGAGGTGGGTCCTCTTCTGCTGTCTCTATGAGGGTTGAAGGCCTCTACTAGCTCTATTTCAATGATCGATCAACTCTTCATTGATGATCTCACGTTTCATCATTTTCAACAAAGCGACGTAGCTGTTGAGGTCCTAGTTCTGTACATCCTTCCATAAAATGGTATTCATGTTTAGCCGACATCATAGTACAGATAACGCCTCCCGATCGTTGAATTGTACGCAACAGGCCATTTCGTCAGTAAAGAGGGCCAAAAAAACTCATCAATATCTCCCCTTGGAGACGTTGGATATGAGCCTTTCCTTCCTTACTCACAGCGAATCGTTTCAAGAACGTACTTTTGAACTCTGGCCAACTCCTTATACTTCCTGGGAGTATTCTACTATACCAAATTTCGGCTGCCCCACTTAGAACTAGGTAGAAAGCTCTGCACTTGTCAGTGGGGTGGTACTTCTCAGACTCATATATGTTTTGTAACTATTCAAATGCTTAGCCAGGTCACTTCTTCCGTCATAATTTGGTATTTTGGCAACACATAGTGACTCGAGACAGGAGCATTTCTCAGTTCTTGTGAAAAAGGTAAATTTTCGTCGTAGTAATCGAGTTCACAAGACTTTGGGGTTCATTCGAATCTTCATCTTCATCAGCCTGATGTCCGAGTGGATGATGAAATGGTCCTGTCTGATCCCTCACTATCTTCTTCCTCCCGTGCTGCCTATTTCTAGGTGGGGCAGTACCTGGGGCATGTCCTTGCCTGTCTTTCGGTGGTTAGGTCGCATGAGGTGGAAATTGAGACCTATTCTTAGGTATGGGAGGTGGCTGGGATGTCATGTGCCCGGTTCTTACGGTGCAGATTCTATCGACCACACTAACAGACCTTTGCGGCATGTGTTCTTGCTCGTATTCAGGAGAAAAATTATCCTCCATGTGAACATGGACTTCGATGTGTTGACCAGAAACATAGTTTGAGGAAATATCAATACCCACTTCCCTAGAAGGTGGGGCCCTCTAATTTTGGACTTCATCCTCATGCAAATAGAGTATCCTTGCGGTGCAAAAGGAAAGATTAGAGGTCCTCCCTAGCCTTGCATCTGCATGAAGAGTTATTGCATCACCATGTTTTTGTGGGTGATATTCCTCACGTTGGCAGCCATGGTGGCTATCTCCTGGGTGAGTTGAGCTGCTACCCTCATCCCACCATGCATGTGGTGGTGGTGGTTGGATCGACGCCTACCTGCTGGGGCCACTGCTCGTGAAACCTCTTCATCAAGGTTTTCTCTTACCCTCCGGAAGGGACATCACGATCTGAACTCATTTTTTTCTTAGCTAAAGTGTCAATTTTTTTCAACTTTGGGGGCTTCCTCTTGTTCTTTTTCAAGAACAATCCATTTTCAAAGGGAATGCTCAACAATCCTCCGGTAAACTTTTTCCACTGGAATGTTCATGGTTATAGTGACTTTTTCCACAAACAACCAATCTGTTGACTTGTTGCTTGCACCATAAATGTGGATAACAGATATTGGGCCCACTCATGTTCTCTCAAACTAATTCCAACACGCGTAGAATGATCGTCAATCGACAATAAAACAAGGTTTGGACGTGGGAGAAGATTTATAACACGAGACAGAAATGTTCGGGCTCCGATGAAATTTATGAGATAAATAACACGGTAATTAACGACAAACTAAGAGCCAAACTCACAATCAAGATTGTTGACCTCAAATACTAAAAACCTAATATTAATAAGAAAGAAAAAAAATATATGACTTATAGTAAATATCTTTGCATTATTCTCAAATGACACAAATGGGGGATATTTATAAGTTACGTGTGAAATAGTAACCATTGGATGAGAGGACGTGTGGCTTCATCTTTTCTACCGAAGCATTACATCTTAGGTATCAATTTTGACTCCACTAACTTGTGACGCATTAAAATCCCCGAAAGGAGGCGGTCACTCCATAACATATGTTGGCAAAATTGACATTTTTACTCATTACAATAGTCCAATCAATCATTCTAAAAGAATTTCATAAATTCAAGATCTTCAAACGTGGATTGTCACAAACCTTAGTTGAGCATTGGATTCTACCTCATTGGACATCTCCACTTCAGCAAAGAAGTTTCTTTTGGATCTCAAATTTGTCTTTAGCATAGGGGCTTTGAAAAGGGTCAACTTCATGAGTTGCTTTGGTATGATTGGATTTCGACGGGTCGAATTGTCGAACTGTGGTAGATCCTTCTCCACGTCGAATGCCACATGGCTTCGGCGGAACGTGCTTCGGTGGGTCAGCTTTTTCACGTGAGAGCCTAGGTGGTGAAACATGACAGGGTGTATGATCTCAATCGAAATAAAAAAATAATTTCTCTATTTTATTTTCTTGGCATAAAGGTAGATCATATAATTTGAATGTAGCATTCTTCCATCCTCTTGAACATAGTCTTTGAAGAGTAGAGATTATATTTTTTTGACCAATATTTATATTCTCGTCTTAGATCGAGAGTCTAATTATCTATTTGATATTTATTATTTTTTTAAATCTAGGTCAAATCTCGTAAAAAATCAACTTTACTAAAAAAGTGAATAAAGTGTGATGGAAGTACAAGTTCAATTACTAATGAAATATATTTGGCAAGTGATAGAGTGCAATGCATTAAAGTTCAGTGATCACTAAGAAATATTTTAAAATTCACCGATTTATGAAATATGATGAGTTTAATGAAGTACAATGTATTCAAGTTTAATGATCACTTGAAAGTATTTTAAAATTGGGTAAATAGGACAGAATATCCCTACCTTTCAATGTTATCATGCAAAACGTCCCTACATTTCATTTTTGGGCATTTTTACCCTTACCTTCCATCTTTCATTGCACAAAAGGTCATTTTCAACCATTTTTTCAATAAAAGATGATTTTACCCTCCTATTCAAATAAAACAAAAAGAAAAAAAATGAATAACCAACTATAATTATAATCCTTAAGTTTTTAAAAAATTACAAAGAAATCATAAATTCTCAACCACCACTACTTTTACAACCTACCAAGCTGTCATCTATAGATCCACATAGCACCACTTTTCGGCCACCATGCCCACTGGATTCCACCACCACCAACCTCGCTTCACTCCCCCACCGTCCTCCTCGACACGAATTTAAAGATTGGTGCACTTAGGATCCACCAATTTTGGTCAGACAGCTCTCTCCGTGCATCGTGCCCGTAAAGAGCTTTAGACCAGAAATTTAAATTGTTGGGGGATAATTGGTTTAATTAGATTCATACTCATTGTCATTTGGGTTTGTTGATGGCTCGATTGATGCCAATGTGGGGATTTAGTGTTGTGGAAAGCATGAATTGAATTAGAACAGTTTGGCAAAATGGACGTCGCAACTGTCGAATATCTAGATTACAGTAGAATGATTTGAGGCATGTTTGATTGATGTGAGGCCATGTACATGTTCGTCAAGGTGAGGGGTAATCGTCGGTAGTGGTGCGCGACTGTGGGTGGCGCCAAAAGTGGGGTTACCGTGAAGAGTTGTATAGGCAGTTTGGTATTTTAGGTTATAAATGTGGCTGTTTTCAACAAATTTTGTGACCAATATTGTGGGAGAGGGTGTTGGGAGACTAAAGCAAGGCTAGTGGTGGTGGTGGTGGAGTCCGGTGAGCGTGGTGGCCAAAATGTGGTGTTTTGTGGATCTATAGGTGGCGGCTTGGTGGGGTTGTGAAAGTGGTGGTGGTGGAGAATTTATGATTTATCTGTAATATTTTGTAAAATTTAGGACTATAATTGCAATTACTTGTTTATTTTTTCTTTTCTTTTCTTTTTGTTTCATTTGAATAGAAGGGTAAAATCGTATTTTATTGTAAAAATTGTTGAAAATAACGTTTTGCGCTATGAAAGGTGGAAGGTAAGGGTGAAAATGCCAACAAAATGAAATGTATGGATGTTTTGCACAATAACATTGAAAGGTAAGAACGTTATGTACAATATACCCTTTTAAATTTAGTGAGTAAAACGTGACGAATATATAAATTTTATAAGTAACGAAACATTTAACTCTCTAGAAATTTTCTCCTTGAAGAGAAGGAAACTAGGGAGGAGGTTTCTGCCTTTCGATTTCAAAGTCCAATACAGACAACAAAGATGTACCGATCAAATTAAATTAGGGTCAAATTCGACAACCCCATTCTCAGATCCAATTTTCTTCTCGTTTCTATCTTGTCCTTTTGACCAAAATCCGAATATCAAGAAACATCAATAGAATTCATAATTCATCCGGATATTTCCAATAACTATGGGACTGTTCACCTACATCATCGCCGGCGGTAGTTTCATTCTCATCGGCGCTTGGGAATCATTTATCTCCACCTCCGAAATTCTTGTACAAACCCCATCATCTTCGTCACAGAGCAACAAACCCACCACCAAAACGAGACCGTGTTCTTCATCTGTAACATTCAGTTCGATTTCCGTTCTCGCTTTTCTATTCATTATCAACTCTTTCATATCTTTATCTGACGCTCTTAACACGAAAGATAATACTGGTTTCGTTTTACAACTGGAGGTAATAACGATTTCTCTTCTTTTTCTTCTTTACTCTGTTTTGGGTTTTTTAACCAACTTGAAAAATTCGTTTCGGTTTCCTTTACAAATCCTCAATTTGATCTATCTGTTCGCTTTTGGAGAAGAATTTTTATTGTTTTACATGCAAAAAAAGGACCCAAGTGGGATTGAGAACCGTTACTATGATCTTTTTCTTGTGCCTATAACAATATGTATATTTTCCACAATTCTTGAACTGAAGAATTCAAAGTCAATTTATGCACGACTGGGCCGTGCGATTGGGTTGATTTTGCAAGGGATGTGGATTCTGCAAATGGGTTTTTCTTTTTACTCGAATTTGGTTGCTCATGGGTGTAATTTGCACGAAAAGAGCAGGGGGAATTACACAGTGAAGTGCAAGGGGCACCCTGAGTATCATCGTGGTCGAGCTATTGCAACCCTGCAATTTAACTGCCATTTGGCTCTTCTGGTGACTTTGATTGTTGGTATATACTCGATTATTTGTAAGAAGAATGGGATCGGCAAAGGATTTATGCTCTATAGGCCGCTTGGAGATGGAGGGGAGATGAAGCAGTTTGATTCTAAGGCTCAATTTACTTTAGATACTGATGAGGAAGAAGAAGGTGGGAATGAGATCAAAGAAGTGAGGGATGTGGAACTGCAGAAGGCAATTGTGGTGGTTCCGGAGTCGGGGGTTAATGGTTATGGAACTCATTGATAAGGTACATTAGTGTCTGTGTTCTGGTACTCACATGAGAATTATTCTTTTTCTACATAGTGTGGCAATATTTGGTTTAGCTTTGTATAAATTAATCGAGAGAAGATACTTTTTGCGGGTTCTGTTGTGACAGTATTTCCACTCTGCAGTGCATTTTGTAATCAATCGTGTTAATGAGATTACAGACACCTGCTCTACTGTTTATTTTTTCACCCTTTAGTTATAGCTTTTGAATTATGAATTTGCTCTCTGGTAGCTCTCTATGACTGCAGTTTCTTATGATCTGTTTATTCAGTACATATTCAATGGTTCGATAGATTGCAAAGATAAGTATGTTTTCATTCTTTACCCATTTAAACAGTAAATTTGAATCTGTCTATACATAAGATATAGATGATCCTGTGGAAGTTTCCTAACCGGAGCGGACAAGGTTTTGTCAGCTCAGTTGAGTTTATGTATATGAATGTTATCACACTGAGGGAGATGAATCAGAATGAACTTAACTGGTTGAGATTAATGTTAAAGACATAATTTGAGGGCTCGTTCTGATTTCTAAGTAGATTGACTTTTTCTAATTACAAGTAATACACTACGAAGAGATTTTATTGATGTGCAACATCCAAAAGTGTTGGTTCTTCTAATTTGTAGCTCAAAATGTGGAATAATCTGTATCTTGTTTATATATTGACATTGGTCGTCCTTGTTTAGTCAGTTATATGGTTGTGTTTTACTATGTATCGTCATCACTGTTTGCTGATAACTAAGCTTGTAATCCCGTTCTAAGGACATATTCTGGTTTCTAATACTGTGAATCGGTGTCTGAGCAGCTTTATTCCACATAAGATATAGATTCCATAATGAGTGCAAGGATATGATATTTTGGCCCAATAATGGCAAGATGATTGTTCATGCCTCACACTTAAGAGCTGCCATTATTGTCAAATGATAGGATAAAACTTATCCCTAGGCCTTCCTTTGGTATCCTTTCTACCTTTCACTCGTTGTCTTGTTCCTTCCTCTGTGTGAAATAGATTCAGGATCAGTAGGAAAAAAAATACTAAATGTGAATGGCTTATGGCATTGATCTATTTCTGCAACACCTTGAAATAGTACCCTTCCTCAAGTGGTGGCATGGGACCAAAGACAAAACCAGCAGCTATATGTAAAGCAACAAACTCAATATGTGTGTGCTTTGACTTTCGACTTTCCCTTTCTTTTAATTTAAATTTTAGCTTAATTACACCTTGGCCTTTTGAAAACATGAAGAACCAGAAGTATTTACTACTCTTCACAACCAGAAGTCCTCCCTCTTGCAGTTACTGTTTTTTTTTTTTTGGTGTTATTGTCATTAGGATAATATTCCTCGGACAAGCTGCCAAAGGAATCTTTTTACCCACATTTAATTTGGTGAGAAAACAAAATAATAAATATATGCCTACATATTTTAGGTATATGGTTGTTAATGAGTAACAGTAGCTGGGAGCATTTTTACAGACTTACAGCAAGTTTGCTCCATTGTGTTCTGTGTCACGTGCTCAGAACATGTAAAGGCTTGAGGCTTCTCTGCGACGGATGTTGCTTTTGCTTCATGGTTTGAGCTTTTGATTGTGTTATGGCTAGAGATCATCAAATGTTACTGATAACTAGTTCAGCAAAATAGAACTTAAGCTTGATCTGAAATTAATGTTTATTGTTTAATCTGTATTTTAAAGGATAATCACATTATGATATCATTTGAATGAGTTACATCCAGTTTTATTGGTACACTGGTGCTTAGCAAAATATTGACTATTTCTATTTTTGACATTTTGTTTCCAAACATGTTCGGATGGTTTACTTTCTCTTATAAATAAAAAAAGTTCTTTAATTGGAGAGAACGGATGTGATTACTCTCAATCAAGAGCCTTTGAGGCCATGACCATCTCCATTACATAATGGTATAACTCTGTTGCATGCACGTATAGTTTTCATAATTTCTGTAGATGGCAGTTTCTTTATAATTTATCAAATAGGAAATTGTTTGATAAATACGCAGGCAATTGTTACAATTGCTTGTATTCGCCCACATCATGCTGAACCTAATGAAATTCTATATCCTGATTTCTTTAGCTGATAGAACTATTTCTAGTTTACTCATTTGAATCTTTGATAAGTACAATAGGTTTATGGAGGTGAGTTGTAATTCCTGTATTCTAGTTAGTCTTAAATGATTTAATTTTACTTGCGCGTTCATTTCTTTTTCTGTTTTTTTTGGCATCCTCTTTGTGAGGTTGAAACACCCTTGATGAACGTGGAAATTATTTTTTGCGGGTTCTGGTGTGAAGGTATTTTCACTCCGTGGTGCATTTTTTTGGTCAATCGTTAATGATGTCACAGATGTGTTTAATTCATTAATTGTTCCTTTGCTCATCCTTTTAGTTTTAGGTATTTGAATTATGAATTTGCTCTCTAGGAGTTTTTTTTGACTGCTGTGTCTTATGACCTTATTGAGTATATAATATTATATAGATTGTAAAGATAAGTATGTTTTCATTCTTTACCCAATTAAACAGTAAATTAGTACTTGACAGTACCTCACAAAATATACAGTTTATTTTGCTTAGATTATGATGATTCAGTGGTAAACTCTACCTCACAAAATATACAGTTTATTTTGCTTAGATTATGATGATTCAGTGAAAGTTTACCATCCTAGAGGGGGCATGTTTTGGTTAGCTCAGTTTGAGCTAATGTATTCACTGCTACCTCGTCGAGGGAGATGAATCAGAATGAACTCAATGGTTAAGATTAATGTCTACATAATATGAAAACCAGTTCTAATTAAATTGACTTGTTCCAATTACGAATATTACACTGCAAAGAGATCTCATTTATGTTGGATGTCCGAAAGCATTAGTTCATTGAATTTGTAGCTCAAATTTTTGAAGGTTCTATATCTTGTTTATATATTGACATTGGTAGTCCTTTTTTTAGTTTTACATCTGGAAGGATAGCTAGGAAGGATGGGAGTTGTGCTCTACTAAGTCATCTTCATCACAGTTGGCTGTTAAATAGGCTTGTATAGGGATGGCAACAGGGCGGAGGGCGGGGCGGGACCATTCCCTATTTATTCCCCGTTTAAAAAAGGTTTTTTTTTTTTTGAGTTTTTTATAATTTATTTTTATTGTCCATATTCACTATATTTAGACAAATGATTTTAGTTGCTATTTTCTATTAGAATTAAAAAAAATTTTCATTTAAAGTATTGAATTCTAAAAAAAAAGAAAAAGATTTAACGGGGCGGGGCCCTTGTTACCCGTGCCCGCCCTGGGGCAAAATTCTCCACCGTGTCCCCGCCCCGTTACTCGTTAAGCTGGTTTTTCCTTCCCCGTTCAAGGCGGGGCTCCATAGGTATCGGGTTTTTCGGATTTTCTTGTCATCCCTAAGCTTGTAATCCTTTTTGTAAGGACATATTCTTGTTTATAGAGAGGATTTGTGTAGTTGACAATGTAACATCTTTTGTTGGGACTGTGAACCATTGTCTGATGCAGCTAGTTTCAATAGAAGATTGGTTCTATTAATTAGTGCAACTACGTTTTATTTTTTGGCCTAATAATGGCAAGACATTGGTTCGCACTTTTTTACTTTTAGTTTTACCAACTATTCCTCAATCCACTCGACATTTGTTCTACATCACTCCTCCTCCTCGTCTATGTCACTGCCCGTTACACCAGATTCCCTTCCTCATCTGCATATGATTAGCAGTGGCAAAAAAGCTCGGAGGCTTGGACGGCTCGAGCTCGGAAAAAGCTTGAGCCGGGCTTGGGCTCTGGCTCGGTTCCGTTCCAGGCTCGGGCTGAGCCCCACTTTGGGGAGTCGGCTTGATCCCGGGCCACGAGCTGGCCCGGGCGAGCCAATATTTAAAAAAAAAAAAAAAATTTGAAGGCAGCAAGCCTGCCTTGCTGCCTGGCAGGTGCAGCTACCTTACTGCCTGCCTGCCAGCTATTTTTAGCTGCCTGCAAAGGCAGCTAAGAAAAGAAAAAAAAATCGAGCCGGCTAGGGCCAGGCCTCATTTTTTTCGTCGAGACCGGCTCAGCTCGGCTCCAACTGAAAAAAACTCGGTCCAAAAAAGCTCGGGCTCGGCTCGTTGACACCGCTACATATGATTGAGTTTAACGAAACAATATGGCATTGTGGGTAGGTGTGGATATTGAAGGAGAAGAGTAAAATGAGGAGTGGAGCACCTCTGTCATCCTTACAAGGGTTGAACAAATTAATAACTGAATCACATTCCATATAACGAAAGAAAGGGGAAAAATATTTTAAGGCGAGAATACTTTCTCTTTTGAAAAAATTGACTGTGCGTTTACTTAACAGAAAAGTTGGATGAAAATGGACGAAATGATGTTTTTGTTAGTGTTATGCCCTAGGTCCAATCAACTTTGGACATAAACACTTTGAATATATATAATCAATGCATATATATGACAATATCTATTAATTAATTGAATTAATATTCTAATAAATTAAATAATAGAATCCGTAGATTCAAGTCTTGGTGATTTGTTAATCACAACGAGTTGTGATTGTGAGATACAAATTACATATGACTGAATCTTAAATCGTCCGTGGTCGAAGTAATAACGAGATACGGATATCGTTATTACGAATAGACTATCGCTGTGGCATTCTTACTTGTGAAGTAAGTAGCTAATCTCACAAGCTAAAGTGTGGTGACACTTGAGTGAACACGTGGATGTTTTGTTATAGAACAAAATATTGGAGACCCGCTGAGAGATTCCACATGGATAACTATCTAAGTGTTAGTGG